TATATATATATATTTTTTTTTTTGCAAATTGAAAAGCAAAACTTGGGTGTAGTTCTTTAACATATTTTAGAATTCTTTTTAATTAAATTTAAAATTTTATCTCTTTAATATACATTGTAAAGGTAAAGATTAAATATATTAGTATTGATTAATGATGCAAACATTAATTTTAATTTAAAAACAAAATCATTAACACATATATAACTTTTCTAAAATTGTATGTAAAGTTTAACATCACTAACTAAATTAAGTAAATTCATTATAAATATTTAAAGGTCCTGTACAAAAGACGAGTGAGAGTATTCTATTATCATTTTTATAAGCATTTTAAACACTTTTGTTGCTTTGATGTTTGAACCCAACTAAATTCTTTTGCCAACTTATTGGAGGGGAGATTTGAGTAGTTTGCAAACTCTACACTTGACATATCACCTCAAACACAAAATCATCAAATTAGCAGCCATTTGACATCAAACTCTTGAAACCACTCAACCACCCTTGTTGCATGCATGCACTTTGCACATGATATATGCTCAAGATGATCTGCAAGTGACTTTCTCAGTAAACAGGATATATAGGATGATACACATTACCCAACCCCATATAAATACAACCTTCACAAAACACACTTTGTTTCTTCTTTATTGTCATTACTCTACCGAGTATACTAAAGGACCGAAATTCAAGTTAGCAGCCGCCTTGTGTTCAATCCTTGAAATCATGTAACCACCTTTGTCACATATGCGTGCATATATTGCATACGAGAGAGTTTAACGTGATCTACAATTTATCTCCTAAGCATATATGACAAGATGGCAATATAAGATCACCAAACATGTTAGTCATCCTTCTATAAAAGCCCTCATAACAACCTCCATCTGATATGCTTCGTTACTTATTTAATGTTGTTCCAAAATATACTAATTTGAGTGTTGTACTCTTTAGAAGTTTGTTTTTCTTTTTAAGCTTACCAAACATCTTGAAAGAGTTATTTTACTATTACTTAGATTAGATGAAATTATATTTTTTTAAAAAACTTTTTTTATGATACATATTTTTAAGAACTTAAAATCACTTGTTTTAAAATCAGTTTATTAATTAATTTGATGAAAATAAATTTGTTTGGTACGTAATTTTTCATAAGTTAATTGAAGTAACTTATAACTTTTTTTTTTTTTTAATCTTCATTAATATGTGAAAATCCTTCTTTATCTCTTTTAATTTGTAAATCATTTTTGTCAATATTTCATTTTTTCCTTTTCATTAAATAAATAATAGTTTTTACCTTTACGTAGCATTTGAGGGCAGGAGGTACTAGGGAGCTGGCATTGGCATAGATAGAAAAGAACAAGAGAGGGAGCATAAATGAAAAATGAAAAATGAAAAATGAAAAATGAAAAATGAAAAATGAAAAATGAAAAATGAAAAATGAAAAATCCCACTCCTCTTTATAGCTAAACCCCCTTCAACTCCTCTCCCCTGCACTGCATCTCATTCTCATGTGACTTACTCCAATTAATTTCTCTCTCACGCAATTGCAACACAAAATAACAACAACCTTCTCTCTCTCTTTCTCTTTCACTTTCACTTTCTCTTTCTCTCTCTTCTCTCTGTTTCTTTCTTTCCTTTCACATTCCCCTGCCCATGGCGGCTGTCCCACCATCGCGGACCGATCCACCGGCAATGGTGCCGCCGCCGCTCATCGTCTCCGACTCCTTCGCCAAGGACGCCATTCTCGCCTGGTTCCGCGGCGAGTTCGCCGCCGCCAACGCCATCATCGACGCCCTATGCGGACACCTCGCGCACCTCGCCGCCGCCTCCTCCGACTACGACGACACCTTCGCCGCCATCCACCGCCGCCGCCTCAACTGGATCCCCGTCATCCATATGCAGAAGTATCACTCCATCGCTGACGTCGCTCTCGAGCTGCGCAGAGTCGCCGAGAGGAAAACGGAGGTCGAAGGCGCCAAGAAAAGCGACGACGAGGAAGGCAAATTCGAGAAGGAAACGGCGGAGAGTGGCGGAAACGAAGGTGACGAAGCTGCGCCGGAGTATGATTCGCCGGACAGTGAGATTACTGATTCAGGTAATAATAATAATCGATTCCACACTCATCTTCTTTAATTTTTTTTATTTTTCAGTTTTCTATATTACTACTTACTATTCGCGATTCACCTTCAATTTCGCCTGTGATATCTTATTATACTCTTTCGCGATTCACCTTCCTCCTTTTGCCCGGGAATTGAATTCTCCCCGTAACGGCTTTTTTTTTTTTTTTCAATCTTAAAGCGATATAATACAATTCAATTTTCAGATTATTCGATAGTTATTTGTGTTTAGCCTGAAAGCACCGTAGCCTTTTTTTTTTGTGACTCACGAAGAGTGAAAACTTTCTGTGTCTCTTCACGGGAACAAACCTTTTGGTTTTCGGCTTTTTATATATTTTTTTATAAGACAATCAATATATTAGAAAAAAGTATTTTTATTCTCTGATGTATGCCGAAGAAATCGAGCTAATAGGATATTTTTCATGAAAATTAGTTTTCTAGATTGTTTATGCATTGAAGTCAATTTTCGGTTGCGCAATGGTAGACCGCAGACGTCGTTCAACGTTTTGATCGCTTTAATTTTTAATCAAATTTTTTAGGCGAAGCAAAATCATCGCCAATAGGGTTGTTTCTCCTTTTCATTTAAAAAGAAAAAAGTTTTTGTGGCGCTTTTTATTTTGTATATATAGCTATGTTATTAAACTAATGCCACGCAGAGAATATGTTCGATAATTATTTTCATTACATTACATTTTGATTCTGAATTCTTATTTTTCATATTAGTTTTTGTTAAACCAATAGGGTATACCAGGTCCTATGTTCAATTTTTATTATATTCGTTGCTCACTCAAAAAATTATTAATTTTTATTATACTTTGAGAATTTAATTAAAAAATATATAATTTGTTTATTCCATTACCAAATTACGTATGATAAATTTACAAAAAAGAAAAAAAAATTACGTATGATAACATTATAATATGTTATTCAATAAAGGTATAATAAATAACACATAAAAATCATATTATTTCCTTCATGTATATATAATTAAATCCCACAATTTTAGAAAGTATAATATATAATTAAATTATGTTATTGATTGTTTTGTTTATTGAGCTGAATTTAACTGATTAAATATTATTTTAATATTAACGAAAATCAGGTCCACCTTGTACAAATAAATGATTTGTATACGATAATATCTTGAATTCAATAAAAAATAAAGTTCTTTTATATTTATTTTTTTCCGGTGAAAGAATTTGTAAAGTAAAGAAAATGTGAAAGAGAAAAAATTAACATGAATCGAAAACTACTCTTTTGTTTCATTACCTAATGTGTGTGTGTGTGTTTTTTTTTTTTTTTTATATTTATCATGATCTTCAATTCACAAATTGTTTTTAAATAATTTTTTTGATTAATTCCTTAATTACTTCTCCATTTCAAAATAAATGAGGTATGAGTTTTTTTTACAAAAAATAAGAAATTTAATTAATAATTTAATGAGAGAAAAAAATGAAACCATCCTGATTATTTATTTATTCTCTATCTCATTTCCGGGTTAATTACATCTGATTTTTTTATTTATTTTCTAGTTGCGGGATCGGAGTAGTATTTACAAACATTGTCATTTATAATTAAAACTCACATTAATTATTTATTTAAGATAAAATTAAAATATAATATTTATATTTTATCGAAAACCTAAAACCTCATCTAATGTGAAATAAAAAATTAATTTTAAGGTATAACTTATTTTAAAATACAGAGATTTCTTACTTTAATGAGATCTTAGCCTTTTATTATTATTATGAGGAGTTATCATTTTTCTTTCTGTATTTGTTAATTTTGTATACGTTTTGGGGGTACTTTGGTGTTACGGACACGGTTGTTAAATGGGCCTTAGGCAGAGGCGAATACAACAACGTTAGCGGGGTACACCTAGAGATGTGTGCAATGGCGGAAGAATCAGAGCCGGTTGCATGATGCTGTTGTTGACGTTACGTGAGTGGTTCCATCTATTGGTATCGTACCACGTGCCGGTTTGTGTTTGAATGGGTGGGTAGTTGAGCTTTGACATATTAGGTGCTATTCCCTATGAACACCTGTTCATTGTTCAATGCTGCATCCTAATTAGGTCCAAGTTGGCAAGTCAACTCCGTCGACTCTTGCTTACTGGGTGAAGGATCCGATGAATGGACTTTAATTATGGGTAGGAGGATATTAGGATTTAGAAAATTAGAAAGTGAACATAATTCATAAAGGGTAGCATAAGAAAAAAAAGGAAACGAAATATGTTCTGTTTAGGACTAATACTTTTGCAATAATTCTTAGTGCATGATTGCTTACGGATCTGGATCCTTGCAGTCAAAGTTTCCTCCAGGCTCCAGTCATCATCTTATAATCTTAGCTCAATTGTAATACAACAATCTAATGGTCCTAATTTCTACTGTAAAGAAAAATTGACCGGTGAGGCTGGAAATGATCCAAACTAGTCTGGTTACATGTTTTGGATTTACATTGAAAGACATTTACATGTTAAAAAATATATAAGAAAATGCTTGAATTTCATTCTGTTGCCTCTGCTGAATTTGGATCCAAAAATGTCAAATCTAAACCAAATATATGTAACAAAACTTTTTTGTGAGTGTAAATAGTAGGGTAACAAATAATGTAAAAAATATTAAATTCTAACTATTTATTTAAGAAGAGAAATTAAAAAAAAGAACGTTGGATGAATAAAATATCCTTCACAAGTGCCTTGAAATGCGAGGGAAGTTGATTAACTATTTTTTTTTTGTTTTTTTATGAAAATTAAAAAAATTATTTATAACATAAAAAAAACAAAAATAAATAGTTTTATGCGAATAAATAAATAATACAGTTCAAAAATTTAAAATTTTGGGTTAGTTGTTTTTAGTTAGTATAATAGTTTTTATATAATTTATTTATTTATACCCACTCTCATTTAAGTGTTATTCACTTGTTTTCTTTTTATATCTATTTATTTGAACAATACCTTTTTATTTATTTATCATATTTCTATCTCTTTTATTTTTCTTCCCTATTTCATTCTTCATTAAAACAGAGTATAAGAGAGATAGAAAGACAAATGTGAGATATGATGAGTGAAGTGGTAGAGAGAGAAAAAGAGAAAAAAATAAATTATAAAAAGTAATGTAAGAATTTGTTGCATGTGTATTAAGTATTATTACTCAGTTTTTGGTTCTAAATAAAAACAAAGCATGTTTGAGCAACCGGTTGCGTTCATATCCTAACTGGAGACATGTGCTACTATCATAATTTTATTTGTTCCAGTGGCCTGCCCATTTTGTACCTATTAACTGGACTCTTTCCTTGGGACATTGGTTTGGTAGTGGTGGGGGAGCTCTAACGCCCGGTTACTTTGTTGGAAGGGTAGCACATGTATATCAACAATTACACAGCAAAATCAATTGTTAAATGTGATATTCCAATTTAACAAACTTACTGATCTAATGGTGACGATGACAATGTTTGGGCTTCGGATTGCTTTGTTGCTAACCCTTTTTCAAATCTCTCTTTCTCTCCGTTAACTATCACTAAAGAGCAGGTAGGATTTGTCATACTACAAGATAACCAAAGGCATGGGGCTAACCTAACCATGCAACCCAAAATCTAATCTAAGTTTGGGTTTAACTCATCCTTATAAAATTAATCAGCAATAATCACCACTCAACCTTACACTAAAATATGTTTCTCACTTATATGTACTATTTTAATTATTTCATTAGTTAATGGGAGATCTTCAAGATTCTAACACAGGATGAGTGTAATAATTGTAATAAATCATTGCAATAAACTATACTACTGGATATAATGCTTTGGATGAAATTGTGTTGCCTTAAAACTACACAAGATGAGTGTAATATAATGCTTTAAGGTGGTAAGTCAATCCATTCCCCCTCTTTCGTTGAGTGCTAAAAGTTGCCTGGATTTTTTTTGTTCTGGAGTACAGGATCTCAGGAAATGCAACCAAGTGCGATAAACAATAATATATGTTCCAAACATGAAGAATGTGAAGGACGTTCTTCACAAATAAAGCTGACAAAAGGTTTCACAGCAAAAGAGTCCGTGAAGGGGCATATGGCAAGTTCTTTCGTTTACAACCTCAATATTCAATACCTTATTTTTAATAAAGAAGCATGGATTCATAGAGCTGGTATCACTAGTTTTTGTAATAAGAAGCAGCTGGATATTGCTGAATGACAGATGATTGCAATTAGCAGGTGAATGTTGTGAAAGGATTGAAGTTGTATGAGGACGTTTTTTCTGAATCAGAAATCTTCAAGCTGACCGATTTTGTGAATGAGATTCATGCTGCTGGCCAGAACGGGGAACTCTCAGGTAAATCACCATTAACTCGTTATTTCCTGCACGTTTAATTACTTTATATAATGCTAATTTTTATGATTTTGGTCGTCTGCAATAACAAATGAAATATCAAGACATGTGGCAGCTGTTTGTTTGTTTAATTTTGGGACTCGGGACTTACTTATACAATGGACAACAAATTTCAGTATAGTACATGTAATCAATATCATGATGTATGTAATCCATTATAATAAATTTAGTGTTTTCTGGACCTGTATTTATCTTTCTCAACACCGTTGCGGTTGTATGTCTTCGTTGTATTTTTTTTACTGTCACCAATCACAAGACAGGTTTAGACACACAATGATTTAACGCAAGTTGTCCTGTTGTATATAATATATGTCACGTTCTCACCAGATATTCTTGAATAAATGTAGGTGAAACTTTTATACTATTCAACAAACAGATGAAAGGAAACAAGAGAGAGCTGATTCAGTTCGGTGTTCCGATATTTGGACAGATAAAGGACGATACCAAAAGTAAGAAAAAAAATTATTTAAAGGAAGATATAATAATTTGGCAGTCTTTCTACACCTTAACAAAACTGTAATTTGGTTCTTCTATGAATTATGAAATTCAGCTTGCTTTTCCTTTTTTGTTTACAGGTAATATAGAGCCAATTCCAGCACTTCTCCAAGATGTTATTGATCACCTTATTCAATGGAAATTAATTCCAGAGTACAAAAGGCCAAACGGTTGTATCATTAACTTTTTTGAAGAGGTAAACATTTCGTGTTTCCGTAATCATAACTCCCTTATCCTGTATTAGTCTGATCTCGAAAGCTACTATAAGCATTCATTTCTCCAAGGGAGTAACCATTTATTAATGTCTGTATAATTCTATAATTTGTAGGGGGAATTTTCTCAGCCATTCCTGAAACCACCGCATTTGGACCAACCTCTATCCACCCTTCTTCTCTCTGAATCAACTATGGCTTTTGGGCGTATCCTTATGAGTGAAACTGATGGAAACTACAAGGGGCCGCTCATGCTCTCATTGAAGGAAGGGTATATACTAAACAACTTACACTCTTTGGGGTCCTAATTTTCCATTTATTTTTAATAGTGCAGTTATATTTCGGGATACAAAGGCAGAATACCTTCATTTATTGGACATATAACCTTTTTAGAGGATGAAACTAAATGTTCACATAATGCCCTAATTATTGGGTTAGATTGCTTCCATTTTCCATTTTTATGGAGTAAAATAGGTACTTGCAGATTTTTTGGGGGACAATTATTTTTTTTGTTCTGGAAATATCATTTACTAGATTGCAGAAGTGACACCTAGATTCAAATTTCCATCCTTGGCACTAGGTCCTTCAGAAGTCTCCACCCTGATCCCGGAAAACTCATTTCTCCACATATTTTTCTCTTTAATATAGTATATTATGTGTTTAAAGTGGTTAAGTTTTCCTTGTTAAACAAGTATTAAATTCGTCTGCATTCAAGGTATGAAAGTTTCTGAGATGTTCTTAAGGAATGTTAGATATGGATAGAGTGACTCGACAAGTAGCTTCCTACTATTTCAGGGGCTGTATCAATATACACCGATAGGATTGGCACCTTAATGTTATGTCTTTAGAAGAAAAAAAACGCTAGTTTCTCATTTCTAGCATTTAGCTCAAACCATTATTGTTATTTTACATATCTTCAATGGTTTTCTATTGATCCATAACATTGTAGTAGTTTATAATACGTGATTAGATGATGAAACACAATGTAGGTCTCTTTTAGTGATGAGAGGAAACAGTGCTGACATGGCAAGGAACGTAATGTGTCCATCCCCTAACAAAAGGGTGAGCATCACCTTCTTCAGACTGAGGCCAGACTCCAATCAATGTCAACCACTAAGTCCTACCATGACAACTGCAATGAACCTTTGGCAACCTGGCATTGCTAGCCCATATACTTTGCCGAATGGAGCTCTAAGTGGCTATGATGAGGCTATGGATATGATGCCCAAATGGGGATTAGTTGGTGCTCCAATGGTCATGTTAACCCCTATGCGCCCTATGGCAGTGAACACTCGTAAACTTCCTCAAGGTGGGACTGGGGTTTTCTTGCCTTGGAAGGGGGCATCCAGAAAACACGCAAGGCATCTTCCACCGCGTGCCCAAAAAGGACGCCTTATGGCATTACCTTCACCAGTCGAGTCACACATGGGAGAGTCCACTTCTGAACCCAGCATTGCTGTTGTTGAAGGATAAGTATGGTTTTAATCTCGAAGCTGCCTTGGGTTTAAAGAAATGTGAATCAAGAACGGTGGCTTTCATGCCTCGGTTATTTGATCCGGAATCTGGAGTATTTATTTTGTTGTCCAAACGGACCCAGGGGGTTGCGAGAGTTTGTTTCATTCATTTTTTTCTTCCACATTTTCCCTTTTACTTGCTTTTTAGATAGATAACTTAGAATATAGTATTTACAATAGTTTATTGTCGGTTCCAATCAGCTTAAGGGCTTTGGAGAATGTGAATTATACCAGGGATAGAATTTTATAAGAATGGTAATTTATATTTTCATTTTAGAGGTTTAATTTGTGTCTGACCGTCAACTGGCTGTATAGGCTGCTTCCAGACAGATGAGTATTAAAAGGTGGTTCAGGACATCCAAAACATTATTAATAGCCATCTCTATCCTAACAAAGAAAAAAGAGTACCACCATCTCTAATGTATTTATTGTTAATTTGAATAAAGTAGTACCTTATGATTTTAACTAACTTCAACATTGAACATACCTTTACATTTCCAATATATAAGTCACTTGACTGTTAACAACAGTTTATACTGAAATAATTTTTTTTTAAAAATTGCTCTATTGAAATAAATGCTTCCGTGAAGATTTTATTATGCAGTTCTCAGATCCTCGACATTTCAAATAATTTCGCATCTATCTATAAGTTCTTACTTAGATTTCAAAATTAAATGTTATATTTGGTTAATTCTTCTATTACTTATTCAATGAGAAGCGTACCATAACTTCATGTCATTGTTAAAGAAAACACTACGATACGACAAATAATTTTGCTAACCATTATGCTAAGAACAACAATGGTTTGGAAATCGATAAATTATGTTTTACTAGCAATCAGGGTAGGAATGCATTGATAAAATTAAATGTTATATTTGTCTTTATTCAGAACATATTAATTTTGATTTCTTATTATTCACCAATGATTAGCCAAACCTTGAAACAAATTAGGTACTAAATGGAACAGAGTTAAAACTTAACAATTCACCACGTGAAGGAGCTATATCCAATTACTTACAAAATGGACAGATTTTCATGCCAGTGACCACCCATAATTATCACTGGTTCATAAGTTATCAAATAAAAGAAACAGTAAGGAAGACGATATCACCCAAGTGTCTGTTTGCAGTCACCATATTTTGAGGTGTATCCAAAACAAAAAACATTTAATAAAATTAAAAAGGGGTATATCAATAAAAGTAGTTGCTTTTCATAGATTTAAAAATGTGGAATAGTGACACTCCTAAGAAATTTATAAAATTATGAAAACAAAAAGAGAATGCTAGTTTCTAATATTAAAACCACACTTACATGTATAATTCCCACGAAATTGCAGCCCAATATCTCATGCCTTAGCAGGCTCATCATTATCTTCAATGTCCCAACTCAAGTCTTCATCTTCTTGTTCTTGTGGAACACTGAGGCGCTTTCGCAAATCAACTTTGCTTGGGCTACCCGTCCTAGCCCCCTTCCCTTCACCGTCAATTCTACTAAAATTCTCAATCTCATCCCATTCAAAGTCCTCCTCCTCCTCCTTCTCATTCTCATTCCCCAAGTGCTGACTTGCAACCGGTGGAGCTTTTCCATCATCAACCTTCCTTTTCATTACCAGCTTCTCATCAGAATCCACACCGGAAATAGAATCATTTCTATTCCCAGTGTTATCCACTTCATGAATACTACTTTTCTTGCTCCCATCACCCTTATTCTCAACAGCCTCTTCACTCTTGTCAACTTTTGATTCTTCAACACACTCATCCTTCTTGTTACCGAGTCCCTTGCTTTGCACCTCTTCCACATTCGACCTCTTTGTTCCATCACCACCCACATCTCCATCATCATCATCATCATCATCATCATCAAGATCCCAACTCAAATTCTCCTCTTCCCTGGACATCTTCCTCACGAGCCTCGCCCTGACATCCTCAGCTTTCTTAAACTTATAAACCCTATAATAATACCTAAACCAAAACATGTCACGGTCAACAACACTAGGAACAAACCTTTTATAAACACTCTCCATAGCCTCATTCTCTCTCAGAAACCCTTCCATTTCGTCCCACTTCCCTTCCAGCGAAAACCCCGACTTCCAGTTATTAAACTCGTCCAAATCCTGGGGCACTTCGGAGTAAGTGCTAACGTCACCCTGAATGGCACGAACCTGAGCGTCAAACCTACTATACCGTTTCGAATTGAAACCCTTTCCGGTGCTGTTGTTAATTTTTTTGTCGTCGTCGGAATGGAGGATGGCGTCCTTGCCGTGAGACATGATCTGAGCGGTTCCCTTGACGACGGTGTTCCCGAAGTGGTCAATGGCGTTGCCCACCGTCTCGAGGGAACCGTGAGCAACCTCTATCTCCTTCTTGAGGCCGGTGCCGAATTCCTGGAGGTCGCGGCGGTAGGTCTCGATGATGGATTCGGATTTGGCGCTTAGGGTTTTCCAGAGACTGTGGATTCTGATTTGGGCGGCGCCGGAGGGGTCATTGTCGGAAGGGCCTGGATCGTCGGAGAAAACGGATGCGAAGAAATTCATGAGGAATGCAGAGAGTGTGTGAGGGAATGATTTGAGAATATGTAAACATATACATACTGTGAGAATATGAGAACGCGTGGGGGTAACTAGCAACTAACATCCCGTAATCCAAGGTTTAGGATAACGTCCAATAAAACTAAATGCTTTACACACGCCACACGTATCCAAATTTATAATTTATAATTAATTAAATGTAAAAAAAATTAAAAGTCTAATTTTGTTCTTTAAAAAATATAATACCAGTCGAAAAGTAAAAGTGAAAACCTGTTACATGAAGGCCCATTTAATAGATGGGCTCACAGCCCAAACTTCAAGTTTGAAAGAGGAATTAGAAATGGCGGTGGTAGCACCGTGAGGTTTAGGGTTTCTTCTTCTTCTTCCATTCTTCAGTGTTTGCACAGAGACAGATGGAGAGAGAAGTGAGAGGGATACAGTTACCGTTAAGCCAAACTCAGAAGGTTCGTCTTCAGAAGGCTCTAGAACAGTTACAGTCTCTGTCATTGAAGGTGAATTTCGATGCTTCGGTGGTCGTCGCCGATTCCATCTCCGTCAACCACGAAGACGGCGTTCTCAAGGGGCACGGAACCGCCGACCTCAACGGCGAAGTCGTCGCCACCGTCTGCGGCGTCGTTGAGCGTGTCAACAAACTTGTCTACGTCCGTGCCTTACGCTCCCGGTAATCTTACTTCTTAGCTTCTCAACTTCTTTCTGTTGTTATCTTCGTTAACGGAAATGAATAATGTGGTAACTCGTAGGTATAAACCTGAGGTCGGTGACATCGTTATAGGGCGTGTTGTTGAGGTACAATTTTATTCTGTCAAAGCTTTCACTCGTGCTTGTTAGTGTTTTCTGACTACCATTGTGTTATTGATAAATGTGTAGGTTGCTCAGAAGCGTTGGAGATTGGAGATAAATTACAGTCAGGATGCAGTTTTGATGCTTTCTTCTATGAATATGCCTGATGGTGTCCAGGTATTTCATAACTCACTTTTTGGGGGATATATCTTGTATTGCAATGCTTTATGATAAAACTATCTGTAACTCGTATAGCTTATACTTCTCTGTTTTTAGAAAATTTAGGGCCTTTGCTTGTTTGAAATAAAAGGGTGTTTTGATTTAAGCAAAAAATGTGTTTAATTATTTAAATAAAATATTGCTTTCTGCCACAATTAAGCTGGAAACCACCTCATTCAGAACTGTTCTTTCCCATGCTAGAGGCGGAGGACCGCTGTGGACGAGCTAAACATGCGCTGCATTTTTGAGGAGAATGATGTTGTTTGTGTAAGTCTAGTTTTGTTGTGCTTACTGAAAATTACTTACATTAGATGAATAAATGATCGTTGATTATTTTTCTGAACTATGTATGTGACCACAGGCTGAAGTTCGTGGTTTCCAGCATGATGGCTTACACCTTCAAGCAAGGAGTCGGAAGTATGGAAAGGTATGTAGTCTTGAAAATTGTCATAAATCATGTTAATTACTTTGTTTTTACTTGCTTCTGTTTTTTCCCCTCAAAATGTAGTTGTACATTACATGAAGTAGGAGACCCTAGACTCTAAGAAATGGGTATTGTTACTTACAGATGTAAAATTACACTGCTTCCAAATACGTTTTTGTGATTGAAATGTGAGGAAGACATCTTGAAATGAGGGTAAAAACAATTTTGGTTGCCATGGTGCTTAAAGGGTTTATCTTGATGGGATGTTGTAGTATATTCTGTTTTTTTCTTCAGTCTTTTACTGTTACTGATGTCTCTCAGTTGTGCAACAGCTTACTAGAGGTCAACTGCTTAGAGTCTCACCTTATTTAGTGAAGAGACAAAAACAACATTTCCATCATCTGGAGGAATTTGGTATTGATTTGATACTTGGCTGTAATGGGTTCATATGGGTTGGGGAACATATTGAAGCCAAAGATGACATGGTAGAAGATCAAGTGAACCAATCTGATCCACAAGTTCTATTGCCTAGTAAAAATAGTGTGAGTCTTGAAGAACAAGAGAAAAGTTATACAACATTGGAGACAAGAAAATACATATGCAGAGCTGCTAATGCTATTAGAGTATTATCAACCTTAGGCTTCAATATTACATTGGAAATCATCAAGGGAATTATTGATCTAAGCCTATCTTTGAATCTTGATATACATGATATGCTTGGTTCTGAGTTTTGTGTTCTGGTTGCCGAAAAAGAGGCAGAAAGGAGAAGCTCAAATAAAAAGAAGCGGTAGATTGTGAAATGGTGGGGCTTTTTGGCCTGATTACTTTAATTTGATTTACAATGTATTAAATTGGTGTAAACTTTGAAAGAAAAAATTCCCAAAATAGTGTAAGTCACATTTGAGGTGAGCAAAGTATAAAAAGGAACTAATGGATGAGCGATGGAATGAATGTTTAAAAGAGTTGTATTTGTTTGTTGTGACTTTTTTTTATTAATATTTCTATGTAGTTGTTAGAGATGGCTGGCTGTTTTTTTCTTAATAAAATGAAGGAAAAAGGGAAGTTGCATCCCGCAAATACCATTTTTTTTAATATTCAAGTTTTAATGTTTAAATAGATAAGTACGATTTGGAAACCATGACTTACTATTTAATATTAAAAAAATGTAGAAAATCCAACTCTATTTGTTTGATGAAATATGTTGCGAGGGAATTCATCGGTCGCATTACCATGTTGAGCTTTCCTGTTTGGAGCTTCAGAGCTTGTTCATGTGTGGTGTTTTCATGGCTGTTCTATGGGTTTATCAATGGTATGAGGTTGTCAAATTCAACCCTCTTCATCTGATGAAATGCATTGCCAGGGAAGTCAACCCCGTAGCGTTACCATGTTGAACATGCATCCAAGAGAAAATTGTGTTCAAAGATTTAGAATACTAAAGAAAGTCTGTCGTCAATTGTGTTCAAAGGTTCACTCGTTTTCCTTAATCACCGGAGATGGTAGCAAGTCTGTCGTCAGTTGTGGCTTAGGAATGATTGTGAGAGATGACTTGATACACAGAATCCAATAGTTGAACATGTAGCATTGTAGCTACTTCCCAAAATTTGGGAGGACCAACCGGCTTTTTTTCTTTTTGTTTTGTTCATTGTCAACGTTGCCTTTGGGTAATGTGTGGTGAAAAGTTTTCACCATAGGCCGTTGCAAATGGTATTAAATTGCAGGCAACCACAATATCAAGATATTTGAATTCTTCACAATTTCATTGCGACTGCAAGCATTTGTTCATAATTTTTCACAATATTAGAGTTCGTTTGTCCTGTCTCTAGTCTTCCGCATATTCTTTTGGTTGTTTCTTCAATAGTCATCTTAACCAAATTATGGCCAAGGCCACCAAAAAGAGTTGTGGCAAAAATTAAGTAATCACTCAATATTCAAATGCCTTTCGAATTAAGGATACACTATTAACGGATATGAATATTTCGTCCAGTTAAGAAAATACCTCAACGCCATCGAAACTCAGCGATACAAATCTATGCATCATGGCTACATTATATTTCATATTAGGGAGATTCTGGATAACATTAGGGAACTTCAGTTTTCCTGTAATGTGAGACACGGCAATAATACAAAATGCAAAACCTTTTAAGGAACCTATATCATTCTCTTCAAGTGATAATAGGAAGAATGTAACGACTGTATCTTGCTTCCATAGAAGATGCAAAAGGCTACTGGAACTTTAACACAGAATTCATCCATCCTTGAGATTAATGAAGTGTGAACTTCTCCAATGAATGTCTGTGGCATCAATTTGCTATGTGTCATATATATTTGAGATCAATGAGAACGCAAAGAACCAACAAGCCTTGATAGCAGTTAAAAACCAAGTTTGGGTTTTCTAATCCGTTCTCTGAAGCCATCCAAACTGCGAGACATACTTAAGAATCAAGTTACAAGAAATAAAGCTAACAACAGATCTAGATAACTAGAAAGTATATGTACCTTCCACGCGTACATTCCTAAGAAGGCTACTACATCTGCCGACCAAACAACAGCAAAGGACTTCCAAAAGAACGGGATTATAACATTGAGCAATGGGATGAGGAGAAAAAGATAGTTGAGAGCTTCTTTCTCATTCTTTGAGCAATCTCGAGCTCGTAATGAAGGAATTGCTGCACATATATAATGAATTGTATTCATCATACATCCATACTAGGTAAAGAATCATTAAGACATGAACAACAATGGATTTAGCCCATGTCGATGAGAAAATCAAATCTTGATATTTTAATACTATTATGTATGCATATGTAATATTGACCATTGATTTTTATATTAACAACTAAGATTATTCACTTTATCCTTTGAAACGACCAAATCTAACAACAATAATTAGCATGGATGAACTACTCATAATAATTACATTTAACTTCAATTTCAAATACAAAACGTTAATTCTCGGAAGTACATAATCTTTTTAAAAGGTTCTGAAAATTTTCATAACTGATAACTCAAAGCATGAAGAAGCAAAGACATGTTCTTTCAAACAACTTTGAATTCAGAACGAAATTGGGAGGTAAAAACTTACTGAACATCCAAATGGACCACATTCCCATTAATCTCCAAATGTCAGGTTCCTCAGAAGGGAATATGAGATTGAAAGACAAAGCTCCACCTAGCAACATTGATACATACCCTTGAACCTCAAAAACAGTGTACAATACAGTTCCGGGCACTGCAGGGTTTTTTGAAGCCGTGGAAGCCCTTGGTGCAAAGGTTGCAGCAGTCTTCTGAGCAACCTGTCACATAAAGCAAACATCAAAATCACCATTGATCAACTCTCACCAACATGCAAAAGTTTTAATTTCAAGTAATTTTCTTTAAAAAAAGCATGGCTTTTTACGAACTGGGCATCCTTAAAATTCTTATTAAATTGAAAATACATGTTCAAACTAAAGTTTCACCAACCTTTTTAAGCTCTTTGTCAATCGGAGCAGAAAAAGTAGACGCGTCGTCGTTGTTGGCGTTCTCTTCCACGTTGGTCTCCTCCGCAAGTTCCTCAGTTAGTGTTTGCGTGTCAAGTTCATCGGAAGTGGCACGTGCGGAGAGTGTGGCGCGAAGCAGAGAGTGTGAGAAGAAGTTGGTGGAATGGAACCTTGGAAGGTTAAGGTTGATGGTGTTGTTTCGAAGCGGAGACATAAAAGAGTAAGGGACCCCACTAAGGTAACTGTTTGTAGAAGGCGGTGATATGAAAGTGTTCATTTTTATTATTTTGCTTTTGTTCTGAAATCAGGTTCTCATCGGAAACTGAAACTCCACCACCATGAGAAGATGGAAGATAAGAAATGTGAGGTGGAATTGGAACGAAGCAAAACAACCACGTCTAAACGACGACGTCCAGGAACCCGCTTAAACTCTAACGCTCTCATTTATTTCTCGTTCGTAATTAGTTTATAAATTTTTAATCAAACCGTATCCAAGACAATTTTTATGTTATCTTACTGAAATTTATAATAAATAAATTTATTATATATATATATATATATATTATTATGATATAAGTGTTACTGTTATAGTTTTATATAATCATTGGAAATATACATTGTTTGGTAAAAACAATAATAGATATGTAAAATAATCCTCATCAACAAGTGTCGATATGTCCGAGTGGTTAAGGAGACAGACTTGAAATCTGTTGGGCTTCGCCCGCGCAGGTTCGAACCCTGCTGTCGACGATATAACTTTGTTTTGTTTTTCAATCTGTTTAGCTGAAACGTTCTCCAGAATTCATGTTGTCTACTATATGTAACTGATATTTTATGTAACTTTTTTGAATTTTGTTTTGTTTTTCAATCTGTGTGGCTGAAATTTTTCAATCTGTTTAGCTGAAACGTTCTCCAGAATTCATGTTGTCTACTATATGTAACTGATATTTTATGTAACTTTTTTGAATTTTGTTTTGTTTTTCAATCTGTGTGGCTGAAACGTTCTCCAGAATTCATGTTGTCTACTATATATATATATATATATAACTGATATTTTCGATATACAGTAAGAGTTAATAAAATTTGGCACACGGATGGCTCTCGCCCTTTTGAACATGAATTAGGCTTATGCATTATGATGGATGTTTAGTGAGTATCGAACAATTAACATAGATATATAGAATAATTTTCCAATACCAAAAGTTCTGTTCTAGATTCAGACATGATTTGCTAACCTCATGGATGATGTTAAATTAATTAGGGTGCTCAACTACCAGTTTTTGTAGTTTCATTTCGAGGAAAAAAAAAAAGGAAAAAATTTAAGTAAATAATTCATTTTCAGAACAATCATTGAGTCAATGAATGACTCATGACATGTTAATTAAAATAGAATTATAAGTATGGTTAACTTTCACTGTGAAGCGAATGAAGGAGTATATCATTCTTCTTATAGATATATAGGACACATCCACAAAATCATACATGCAAGTTATCTAATAATGCATGCTTACTAGAAATTGTTGAGAATATCTTATTTTTGACATTGAACTGTTAGCTTTGAATAAAACTATGATATTGTCCAAGACTTCATATACGCCAAAGTTCTCGTGTAAAATATGGTATTTTTTTTAAAATTTATTTAATATTAGTAAAAGATACAAAAAAGTATATATAAGTGTTGAAATTGATCATTAACATTAATAAATTGGACATCATGTACTTCACACATTAAGTTAATTAGGTTACATGTTTAATTAACATATCTAAAATATCCATAAGGATATAAAATTAAAATGGTCGCCAATGAATGGTTATAGTGAAAGGAACTTCCAATGGCCGAATTCGTAACCTCATTTTAACTTTTAAGAATAAAATTTGTTAATATGTTAAGATCTTTTAGAGCTTCGAAAACCAAATTTATTTATTTGACATCTTATTTGATACGTCAATTCCAGCTAGACCCACATATTAGTTAATAGCAATAAATATATATTGCTTTAACGAATCTGCATTTTTAAAACAATGATTTAAGGGGGTACCATTTGTCCACATTTTGATGTTGGTTTCTCCTCTTTAAAATCATTTATACTATGTTATTCAGGCTGATAAGCACCTACGAGCCTGTTGAGCCACTCATTCCCAATCAACTATATGTACCTAGGAGGCTAGGACTCCTGTTCCTGTCTTTCTTTTTCACTCTTTAAAATCCTACATACGTTTACATACAAACCTTCCTGTGTAGGAGTATGAAACTATAGTTTTTTTTTATTAATATTATTAGTTTAATATTAGGCTTTAATTTACTATTGTTGGTACCGGAAAATGAATTCGGAGGCACTCGAAATACAGAAGTGCTCAAAAATCCTAGGTGATCGGAAAATGGCAAAGAAGTTTCTGAAGAAGGCATACGAAGCCTGAATAGAATCAAGAGATACACGAAGACACTTTTCGTGAAACTCTTGAAATCATTGAACTAGGAAGGACACGAAGACACTTTTCGTGAAACTCTCGAAATCATTGAACTAGGAAGGACACAAAGACACTTTTCGTGAAACTCTCGAAATCATTGAACTAGGAAGGACACGAAGACACTTTTCGTGAAACTCTCAAAATCATTGAACTAGGAAGGACACGAAGACACTTTTCGTGAAACTCTCGAAATCATTGAACTAGGAAGGACACGAAGACACTTTTCGTGAAACTCTCGAAATCATTGAACTAGGAAGGACACGAAGACACTTTTCGTGAAACTCTCGAAATCATTGAACTAGGAAGGACACGAAGACACTTTTCGTGAAACTCTCGAAATCATTGAACTAGGAAGGACACGAAGACACTTTTCGTGAAACTCTCGAAATCATTGAACTAGGAAGGACACGAAGACACTTTTCGTGAAACTCTCGAAATCATTGAACTAGGAAGGACACGAAGACACTTTTCGTGAAACTCTCGAAATCATTGAACTAGGAAGGACACGAAGACACTTTTCGTGAAACTCTCGAAATCATTGAACTAGGAAGGACACGAAGACACTTTTCGTGAAACTCTCGAAATCATTGAACTAGGAAGGACACGAAGACACTTTTCGTGAAACTCTCGAAATCATTGAACTAGGAAGGACACGAAGACACTTTTCGTGAAACTCTCGAAATCATTGAACTAGGAAGGACACTGCTCAGGAGAAAGGCTCTCAGCCTCACAACCTCTCAAAGTACAAGAAAAATCAGGAAACACTCGAGTAGTATATTTTTCGTTGGTTACTCGAAATCCCAAGAATCCGGACATACACGAACACACTTCGCAACCTCTCGGAATGAAGAACTTAAAGGAGACACGATTTAAGAGCGGCTAAAGTAAATCATGGGATAAGTGTCAAAGGCTGCAGAACGGTTTGGGGAAGTTAATGAGCAGTTCCAAGAGTTATCCAAAGACGTGCCCGGGAATAAGCCACGAGGTCGAGGTGGAAGTTTAGAACGGTTATGCACTTCCGGGGCACGTCAGAAACAGTTACCTTTCCCAAATCTTTGTCTATAAATTAAACGAGCCATGCTCGTAGCAGGAGGTCGAAAATCTAATTCCCACAATACCTCACATGCACTCCGCAGCCTGTGCATAAGGCATACTGTGCATACGAGACAGCTTTGGGTACGATTTCTCGACCACCTTTCTTTTTTTTCTTTTTTAGGAGTAGCATAACATAGCGTAATCTAGCCTAGTGTAGTGTAGTCATTCTGAACATGTTTTGTTGTCCTTACTAATTCTGTTACCATTTAATGAAAACTCTATTTGTTGCTTGTACGATTTTATTTTTTCACTGAAAGTCTTCAATTCTGTCATGTCACGAACACGCATAAATTGAAACGTGAAATCGTGCTAGTTCAAACATAAAGAGTCCACGAACAAATTCCACCGTAAACAACTATACAAAAGTCAAGCACTTGAATATGTAAATATTTTAATTAAAACAATTATCATTAAACACATTTTAACTAAATATAATTAACAACAGTCATAATATTACGAAAAAGATTAATCTATAACTTACTGATAAGACTTCAAAAAATTTCAACCTGATCAGTTGATACTTTACACATGTAACATAATGATGGGGAAAAAATCAAAACGAGATTATTCATCATATTTTATCTTTTCACTGTTGTTTTGTATGGGAATAAAATCATATGGGACAAAGTCTAGAACATCTTTAAATAATAAGAGTAAAAACGTATGAAGTTTATCTTTTTAAAACCCTACATTATCTCGTTTTTCTTATTGCTATTATCTTCCTTAAGGAAAGGTTAATTATCTTTTTCTTAAAAGAAGTACTTCAACATTAATATCATATATATGTACTTATATATAATTACACATCTTCTGAAGAAACCAAACGAAAAGAGACAAATCCAAGGCTAAATGTAAAATACTGAAAAACGCAAAATGAAGGTGATGAGTTGAGGCTGAGGTCCCCCCTCCAACTAAGTGATAGGGTTTTATCAAAGAAAATCTCACTTGTCACAAGTTCTAATTCTTTAGATTATTTGGAAGAAAAAAAAATGGAGAGAAGAGGGGCACCGCGGGTTTCACGTGACGTGGCATTCTAAATAAGAATCTCACTTAATTTTATGTTCATGAGCAGAGTTGTTGGATCATAGTCATATTAATATTATACTTTCTTTTTCCTTTATTTGTTTGTTGCATTGTTTCAATCAAACTTGAAAGAATAAGAGTACTTTTAGCTAAAAAGCAACAACGCTGTGAACTTTTGCACCAGTCACTTACGTGGGTGGATGTAACGAATATTCATGATTTGTGCATATTATATATGCATATAGAGCATGTTAAGTAAACTTGTTTCCAAAGACGGGAAAAGGACACGAGTGTCATTTGTTAAATAGAAACAAGTGAAGGAAGCCAATTAATTATCTTTTCCGGAGCAGTTGGGGCATGTTCGAGTCCCACCCACCCATCTCTTATTTTCAGCCTAATTATGTCATCTTTATCCAAAAATAAACTAAACTACTCTGCATCACTGATTACTCGTCAAAATTAAAAAAATGTAAAAATGAAATTAAAATAAATAAATAAAGCTAGTGCCAAATGTCATCAAGTCATTTATAGGAAACCACCTTTTTTAGAAAAAAAATATTATTACATCATTCCATGCATAAATAGTTTCCATTAATTTCAAGATAATACGTAATCGAGTTTATTAAGATCTTTCTTTTAAATTTTAAAAAATGCTTCTTTGTGTACTATCTTAGTCTATGATGAATTAATCTTTTCAATAAAGGTCAAATAAGATAGTAAGTTATTCACATCTAATTATTAATTAAGTGTATTTCAAGTCTATTTATGTTTAAGTTGATTAATAAGTTGTCTTAATATAGGATTGATGGATGTTAAGCATTGAAAATTACTACATAGCTATATTGATAAGATATTGTTCATTTTGAATTTAAATCCTTATAGTTTCACTTTTGAACATTACTCAAAATGCTTCTTACCAATAGAAATACATGTATATATAAATTCATGCTCACCCTCTTACTTTCTTATTTGAAATATATAGGATTTTGCTTGTATTCTAACAATCATTATCTCAAATAAAATATTATGATTTTCCCTCCTTACAATGGAAGCTAATCCACAAGTATTATCTGATGGTAACCAATAGAGCTCATTCATATTCTAAGTACTTGCACCGTCGTTCCATCGTTAACTCATGATAGTAAGACACACTTCCTAACCTTTCATGTTATCAAAAAGATTCTTCTCCACACATGAATCCATCATTAGGAAAACTTTCGATACAAGGACCCTTATACCGTAATCCACTAACCAACTCCATCATACTTGTTGAGCACATAGTTAGCCACCTGGTCGACCATTAACTCTAATACCACTTGTTAGGTACTAGGGTTACCACATACGCACACTATCTCTACATTGGTAAGGTGGTGTCCACTTTGAACTTAAACTCTCACGGTTTTACTTTTGAACGTCACCTAAAAGGCCTTTTGTTATTGGAGGCACATGTGTGTATATAAATCCATGTTCATCCTCTTATTTTAACAATGTGGGACTTTATTTGTACCCCAATAATTGGACAATATCTTATCATTATGGAGACATATATAAGTGGAAACCGTCGATACATAATAAGTGGTATCAGAGTCGATGATTGATTAGGTGACCCGCTCAATGAGTATAATGGAGTTGACAGGTGGATCCGGGTATAGGAACCCTGGTATCAAAAGTCTTCTTAATGATGAGTCTATATATGAAAAAAAGTCTTCCTAATAACATGGATGGTTAGGTCCCGCTATTGTGAGTTAAACAATGAAGCAATGGTGCAAATACTTAGAGCATGATTGAATTCTATGGGTCACCATCAAATATACTCGTGGACTGATTAGCTTCTACTGTAATGGATGGTTAAACTATGGTCCTTTATTTGAGAGGAGTATTGTTGAGATACAATCAAAGTTTTACATTGTCAGAATAAAAAAAAAAGGACAAACATAGATTTATATACATACAATTGTCTCTATTAATAAGAAGTCTTTTGGACGATGACCAAAAGCAAAATCATAAGAATTTAGACTCAAAATGAACAATATCTTATTATTGTGGAGACATGTGCATATGAAAACTCCTAATACACAACAACTAACTCCTTTTTGAAAATTAGTTCGCACTTGGTCAATACTTGTGGTGTAAGCATTAGGTAGAAATGATAGTATCACGATTCATGGGTTAATTGTTGACAATTAATAACCCTTGTGATTTGGAAGTTTATTGTTAAAAAAACTTAGGGAATACATTTTAAAAATAAAACACATGTATATAAGAAATTTCACACTTCACATATTAAAATAATAAATTAAACTTTTAAATATTTTAGACTTAAACAACTACTAAGCAATTTGTATTAAAGATGTCCTCATCTAATAATTGAAAATTACTTGTTTTTAATACATAAAAAACCACTTAAGTGAATTTTGTGCATCTTAATAAATTCTTTTTCATATACATCAAATTAAACTTGTAAGTATAACATGTTTTAAAAAACTAAATTATGTATCGATAATGTTAAACCTTATAGATAAATTATGTGTCATGTAGCGTGAAGAGACACAATCAACCGATATAATAATTTCTCCATGGCATATTATTAATCTTTAAGCACTGTATCGATCTGTATCAAACTTATTCCTTCTTAAAAAAAGAAAAAAGTTTAGATAACTAGTCTCTAATATTAACATGATAAAATCAAAAGGCAACGCTTGGAAAGAGAAGCAAGAGGTGAAAAAACTTGATCTCTCATCTGAGTTGTCATGGTGTCTCCAATGCAAGAGCCAGTCCCACCCCATTCCCTCACCAACAACACCCACGGCCATTTCTCCATCATGCTCAACCTCCTCAACAAGAACCTCCGCCGCGTCCTCCGCTGGCCACTAAGGCGTCGTTCCAACTCCAAGCTACGCTTCGGCGAACCAACCACCGAAGCAGCTCCTCCCCATAGACCAATACGAATCGCAACGTTCAACGCCGCATTCTTCTCCATGGCCTCGGTCGACATTCCCGAAGCAGACAACAACGTAGGAGGATCGAAGTCAACGTACGATCGACCACGAAGCATTCTGAAAGCGTCGCAGTCGCAGAGTCCGGTGCCGGGTAAGTCGAAGCCGAGAGTGTCCATCAACTTACCCGACAACGAGATTTCGGTGCGGCAAACGAGCTTCTCCGAAAGCGAGAGGAAAGGGTCGTCGTGGAGTTTCCGTGAGGGACAGAGAAAAACGGTGGTTGAAGTTCTGCGAGAGTTAAACGCCGACGTTTTGGGTTTGCAAGACGTGAAGGCGGAGGAAGAGAACGGAATGAAGCCTTTGTCTGATTTGGCTCGTGCTCTTGGGATGAACTACGTCTTCGCCGAAAGCTGGGCTCCTCAATACGGCAACGCCGTTTTGTCCAAGTGGCCCATCAAACGCTGGAACCTACACAAAATCTTCGACCACACTGATTTCAGGTAAACAACCTCACACGCACTTTCATCATTTCACAATCTTTACTCATCTCACTTTCCTAATCGCATTTCCTTTACTTTCAAATTTTTCACATTTTCTCACTCAATTATTTGTATCATGTGAATGCTGACGTGAAATAATGTGTCATGCTAGTGATGAACATGTTACATCAATTATCAAGCACACAAATTGAGTCATAAAATTTGTTAAACAGTGAAACTTAGCTTGGGTTTCTTTTCTTCTATTTGCCAGTGGCATTGATACAAAACACGCGTACCAACTGTGTTAATAGCTGTAAGCACTATGCAGATTGTCCCCACCCAAGCTTTTGTGTTGTCACCTACCTATGTAGGTATAGGACCAATTCATTGCATATTTTGTTTACTTACGTACACCTAAAATATTCCAATAAAGGAACATTAATCTCTACAACTCTGCCTCTATACAAGTTTTCGCCGTTTACCATTTTTGGCTTCGGTTTCTGGGTCTTGTGGAACAAACATATTTCATATTTTTCACTTTTCAGTTTTTAAGCAGTTTTTATTTAATGCTTACAACAAGTTGCTCTTGTTTTTTCTTTTAGGAGTAGAGACGGCATAGTTAAATAATTTTTATGTTTGATGTTAAGCAAATTTGTACGATGCAATGTACGTACGTACAAGTTATCATCATTTTGGAATATCTATTGCATAAACTAAATAATGCTGCTGTTTGAAGGAATAGTTAGACGTCCAATTTGTCTGATGTTGAAGGATAGTGAGAATATTAATTATATTACTGTTCTTGCTCAATTTCATAATGATTAGAAGTAAGAAATTTGTCTTACTTTAATCCAAAGGTATTTGTTGCTAATGACCTTCTGTTAAAGAATGATTGTGGAAATATTAGTGGAAATCCAGCCTGTGAGAAGTTCAAACTTGAAAACAATTTAACTAGAACAAATACAATAAAAGGAAATGTATTTGAAAATTTAGAGGTTAGAGAATGACTTGGCAACAAATTGTAATTTCATGGCAACAGGAATGTTCTGAAGGCCACTATCGATGTACCCCAAGAAGGTGAACTGCACTTTTACTGTACCCACCTTGATCATCTTGATGAGAATTGGAGAATGAAACAGATAATTGCAATAATTCAATCGAATGATGAGCCACACATTTTAGCTGGAGGCCTTAATTCGCTCGATGAATCAGATTATTCCCAAGAAAGATGGACAGATATTGTAAAGGTATATCTAGCATAATCTTAATTTTTTTTAATACTTTTTCTATGTAAAGTCTAAAAAAAATATATTAATTTCATCAATTGATTCATTTGTGTATAGTACTACGAAGAGATGGGAAAGCCAACACCGAAGGTTGAAGTGATGAAATATCTCAAGAGCAGACACTACACAGATGCTAAGGACTTTGCAGGGGAATGTGAATCCGTTGTCATGATTGCCAAAGGCCAAAGTACAAGAACAATTTCTTAAGTCTTTGGTTTTTGGAATTTCAACTTTGTTCTTATACTAAGCTCCTTAAAATTATAAATATTATGCAGGTGTCCAAGGGACATGCAAGTATGGAACTCGAGTGGATTACATTTTGTCTTCCTCAGATTCTCCATATAAGTTCGTTTCCGGATCCTACTTAGTTCTTTCTTCCAAAGGGACTTCAGATCATCACATAGTGAAAGTTGATGTGGCAAAAGTAATTAAATAGTAATCCTCAAGAAAATCTGACAAAGAAGAAGGGACAACCAAGACAGAAAATTTTAAGAATAAAATCAGCTCCATCGAAATGTATATGAAAAACACAAACTGGAGATATAGATTGAATTATTTTCTTCCTAATTGTGTTCTGTATAGCGTTATTCAAAATAAATTAGAAACAAATGTAATAAGGGTGAGATATGATGTGTTACACATTTTTTTTTTTAATTTCTTGGATTTGTACAGCTTTTGATTACTCGACTCGTTTGTGCATTTCTAGATTCACTATCATGTTAAAATACCAACTAATTTGGTCGTAAGTAAATTTTCTCATTTTTAATTTTACGTTAAAGAGTTCAAAATTGGTTTAGTTAAAGTAATTTTTGTATTAAATTAAAAAATTTATGTCTAATTTTATTATTAACTTGCTTTTCAAAAAATAAATATAAATCATTATAATTCAATATTAACTTTAACCAAAATCTATTTTTATTAAAAATCAATTTCATTCAAATGATTGTTAATTTAACATGCATGAAGTGAAATTTAATCAATGTTTTAAGTAAGATATTTTATAATTTTGATAAATAAATTTGTAATATTAAATATTTTATCAATTGGACTTGAAGATATATAGTATATATGTTTAACAAGTTTGTTTAATATAATTTCTTATTTTTTTACATGTAATATTTTAATAATAGTTTTAATGATTCTGGCTGGAGATTGAAAATGAAAAAAAAATTGAACTAATCAAAATTAATTAAGACAGATTGGATCATTAAAAATATTAAATCCAATCCCATCCATATTCATCCTTTCTTAACTAGTTTAAAAGATTATTTTTCTAAAATATATCTATTTAGTAAAATAAAACTTATTTTACAACGTGTAATGTTTTATGATGAAAACACCACTAACTTTGATATTTTATGATGAAACATTATTTTATGTAGTATTTAAAATTATAAGCTCATAATCTATATTTTCCTATTTTTATTTCTTTTATCAAACTTTTTCTGTACCTTTCTTATATAACGAAATATTTAACATTTTCTCACACTCTTTTTTTCTCTCTTCAAATATAAGTTCTTCATGATATAAATTTATCGAAATTATAACATAAATCCATTTATATTATCTCATTTCATTTAATAAAACATTTAGAAATAAAAAGAAAACATTATTTTAATTTTTCTGACAACAAATTATATATTTGAAATAAGTTAAAACATGAAAAGTTATAAATTTATAATTATTTGGATATGTATATAATTATGTAATTTCAAATTATGGATAAATAATTAAATAATTTTGTGTAATTTTACACTTCAAAGTATTTTTTAAAAAAATTTCCAAGTTCAATTTTATTTTACTTTCAAAAAATATTCCACTTTAATGAATAAGAAATCGCTATAACTAACTTTTGAATGAAATTTATAAAAGTTAATAATTTTACGATACTCAATAGTTTTTTTAAATACAAATACTTTTAATTTGGTTATTTATTTTTTCATTTTTTTTAAAGAGTGAATACTCACTTTTATTCATAAAAGTAGGGAATTAAAATGGTATCTATATGATCCTAAATTCGACCAATAAAAAAATACTTCACCCTTGTCTCTAAAATAAATAAATAAATAAGTCAACCAAATTTTTAAATTTAACTATTTATTTTTATTTTGTTCTTGTATATATATATATATAT